GCTACCCGCGGGCATGTTACTGTACTTTTATCTCAAAACACAATAAAATGTATGTATGTATGTATGTATGTATGTATGTATGTATGTATGTCTGTCTGTCTGTCTGTATGTGTATATGTAAGTATGTATGTATGTATATATGTATGTATGTATGTAAAATAAAACAAAAACCAAACCAAATACAAAACAAAGAACACTGGGACAAAGGCACAGTGGCGAAAAAAAAAAGAAAAAAAAAGAAAAAAAATTAAAAACGAAACAAAGCCAAAAGAAACCAGTCCAAGAAAAGCACTGGAAATAACAGAGCAGCGAGTAAGTAGCAACCTGAGCTGAAGACGAGTTCACAGTTTCTTTTCACTTTCTTTTCTCGGTCTATACCCCTCATTTCGCGATGAAATACTGAGGATGCACTTGCTGATAGTACCTTTGCTTCTCAGGCTAACTCAGTCTTGCCTATGGATGGGAACAACCGGGAAATTACAGTGGATTTCATTTGATTTCACCTTAATCATGATTACCTATGTCTTTTTTACTCCCCACCAGATCCCTGCCCCGCTGACTGGTCACACTTCAGTGAATACTGTTACCACGCAAGCAGTTCCCCACGAAATCAGAGAGAGGCAAGGTCATTTTGTCAATCTCTAGGTGGAGACCTAGTGAAGATAACCAGCGCTGAGGAAAACGAGTTCGTCTTGTACCTGGCAAGGAAGTTTGCAGGGAATGGTAAACCCACGTGGATTGGTCTGTTTTGGCATCCAGAATCCGTAGCATATTACTGGACTGACCGTTCGGTACCAACATACACCAACTGGGCTCCAGATGAACCTAATGGATTTGCTAAAGAACCTTGTGTAGAGATGTACACTGGGTCCACGAGGCTCCCCTTCAAAGCAAACGGTTACTGGAACGATGTTCCTTGTACACCTAAATACAACACCGTGTGCAAAAAGCTGGCTTAGTTGCAATGATAACTAAGTCATCGTGCATTCAAAAATCTTTTCGTTGAGAGCTGGTAATTAATTAAATCAGTGCAATGCAAAGTAATTTCGTAAAACTATTATGTAGCGTGTTTAAGCTTTCGATTATAATAACAAACCAAGTAGGTTGTGCTTAGTGTGAATCTTAATAGTAATTAGAAAACAACTTGTAACAGCTGATAATAAAACTTCGAAAAGATATTTGAATATTTGTTTTGTTTTTGACAAAGACAGTTTAACTCTCCGTCTTTGACTATGCTTAATGCATACATGGTGCACATCTAGTTATGCACTGCAGGTCGCACTCCCTTCATTTCTTTTAGACGTATCTTTTATTTCGTTTGGTTTTTCGCGAAAAGTACAAAAAACCACAAAAGTGAGTGTAGCTAAACTTTTAGATATTTCAAGTAACTGAGATGCCCTGAGGGGCCTGATTGGTCCAAAATCTATCTGTTATTGCACGGCAAAACCCACACAAAATTGAAGTTTATATCATAAAAGTAATGGACCGCTCTACCTATCACTTTACCGGCGTAATCATGACTCACACGGAATGTTGGAAAAACACGCGATTAGTTTAAGTGAATCACTCGCCTCCGGCTCGTTATTACGTCACAAAAGTACAAAGTACGTTCTACTGCTCAAACCTTTAACCCCCCAAGATCTGATCATTGCGTGAATTCTCCCTTCTAGCTGCTACACATATCCTTCTAAATTAGTTATAGGAATTTGGTGTTAGATCAAAATAACGACTATTTGATAAGTTTGAGTATTCTCATTACCTATTTGCTGGGCAATGTAAGGATATTATAAAGAGAAGTTACATGTTAATCACCTCTGAGTATAAAAGGTTTCAATAATCGTCAGTGGGTAAGCGAACGGCATTTTACAAGTCCTTCGATCTTAATGGTTCTGAACCGGGCGGTATTCTTCCACCCAGTCCGTCAACAGATTACATTACTTTCTTTATATGTGCACGATCCTTCGCAGTAAAGCACTATTTAAGCAATAGTGAAAATCAGACCTGAAAAAAACTCAGGCCTGTACGGGATTCGAACCACTGACCTCTGCGATACTAGTGCAGCGCTCTACCAATTGAGCTAACAAGCCAACTGGGAGCAGGCCATCAATAGTGCTTTACTGCGAAGGATCGTGCACATATACGTTTCATAACCGCAGTTCATATATATGTATTTCATATATATTTGTTGTTTGATTAATCATCTACGGGTTTATGTCGAATTAATTTGATGGCCTGCTCCCAGTTGGCTTGTTAGCTCAATTGGTAGAGCGCTGCACTAGTATCGCAGAGGTCAGTGGTTCGAATCCCGTACAGGCCTGAGTTTTTTATAGGTCTGATTTTCACTATTGCTTAAATAGTGCTTTACTGCGAAGGATCGTGCACATATACGTTTCATAACCGCAGTTCATATATATGTATTTCATATATATTTGTTGTTTGATTACTTTCTTTGTTGCAATTTGAGATATGTTATTTGCCGGTACGTTGGGTGGCATTTTAAGATCCTTGTTACATTTTTTACACCGTACAGACCGACCTTAAGGTAGGAAATGACTTATCTATTGTTTCCTGGTTTCTAAATGAAATGTGTCATTAAATTGGCTACACTCGACAAGCCGTTAAAACATCGTTCCTTATTTCATAATATTATTCCTTCACAAAAGGTAAATCAGAGACTAAAACTGTGAGGTTTTATTCTCTTGTTACTTTCAGTTCATTTCATTTAGGAATTTGTTATTATGACCAGTAATCGGCCACTATTCTCTAAAATCAAAAATTAGCCACTAGTGTCGGTCACCGGTGTCCAAAATGAGAAATCGGCCAATTGTGTCCAAAATCAAAAATCGGTCACAAGGGTGCAAAATAAAAATTTTGCTACTACATAACTGCATTCATTTTATAAAGATATTCATAGTTATAATACTAGCACAACACGCGGCTCAAAGAAGGTCGCCAAAATAGCGTTGTAACGACCGTAAGCGACAAGGCGGCTACAAAGGTAAGGAGACTAAACACGTCTTATCCTTTTTATTTTTTCCTTTTCTTTATAATTCATTTAGGTTTAAAATTCAATCTTAATATGTTAGGTATTCCCGTTAATGACCTTTAGACCCCAAAATCACACACAGTAAGCTTGACGCGCTTGGGTCGCATGAGGGCTAACAATCAATCACATGCAACGTTTCCCCCACAAAATACCAATTTTTGGTGCGACATTTGTTTGCGTTCAGATCTTGCGCTCATGCCGCTAGAAATTTTGTCTTCAGTAGCCCTTGCATCAGAGATATGCTCATGACATGTATTTTGAACAATAAAATTGAAACAGACGAACCACGCTTCAGCAAGAATCATACCAAAAGGAAAGAGCGACAGACCAATGAACATCACGCTCGGTGTGAACGATCTCATCGCTTCATCGTGATACGCCTGCTAAAGAAGACAGACCCTTGCAGTACATAAAATTCACGAATAGTAAGTCAAGTTTTCCCTTTTTGCGTAATTCTCCTCTTTATATTCAGTGAAATTCTTTATGTACAGTGCAAATACGTTTTTTCCTCTCCAGTCATCGCTTTAGAGCTCCTTTTTATCCAAGAGAGAAAAAAAGCTTTTGGTGATACATCATCATTACAAAAGGCTTAAGCAATTGATGATACCATATAGAAAATAATCCTTTTTGTGTCGCTTCGAAAAAGAAGAAACTGATCTAATTATGTCAGATGAATAAAAAAATTGGCTATGGGGTAAACTTAGACTCTCAAGAAAAGGGAAGATGCTGAGAAAAGTAAAAGTGCTAGTTTACTGGGTTACACAGTGAAAACCATATTCCTCCACATGCAGGTAACAAGAGAGTGCCCGTATCACACAGGCTGAGTTCAAATTTAACTCACATAACCACCTGATCGCCATGTCTAAAGCAAGTTTGTTGCTGTTACTTCTGGCTACAATCCACGTTTTCACAGAAATCACCAGCGGGAAACAAACAGACAATCAACCCATGGTAAAGCTTTAGGATAACTGAACGTCTTTTAGAACAAATTTGTTATGATCGAGGGTTTGCGATGGAGAATCAAGAAATATACTTGTCCTAGGTGGTGTCTTTGCACCTGACATCAACGGATCAATTTATAAAGAGTACAGCCGGAGTGGAAAAAAAAAAGTCGCGCAGTTTCTTTCTTTGCTCGAGAATGTTTTAGTTCGGAACTGATCATCGCTCACTGATTTCAGAGGGCAGATATGAAACTCATACAAATTAAGGTGACGCTAAAAGGAATAGCTACGAGTCTTGGGAATCAGATTTTCGACAAATTTCGATCATTCTATCTTTGTCGTGAAGATTGTGTTATTTTCCGGTAGCTTTACTTTTGTAGGGCGCCAAGTTGGTGCATGTGCTCTGAAAAATTCGGCTGCGCGTGACCATTAGAAATGTATCGTGTTTTCTGGAATATTAATTTTACGTGTCGATTATCCTTTTTTTTTAGAGACAGTTTTGTTGAGCGTGAGGTTCGCAAAGAAAATAAGGTTTTCTTGGACACACGCGTTTAGCGAAGTTCGCTGAGGCTCTCAGAAAATTTTTAAGTTTAGTTCATATTACTATAGTGTACTTGGAAGTCTGAGGATCAAATAGTAAGTCTTTACGTATACAGTGGTACTTAAAGCCTCACGTACATCCTAAGATAAATTTGAGTGCAACCGGTCGTTAGTAAGTGATAGATTGACCTGATATATGATCTAATCCACTGAAGAGTCTTCCATAGCCCGTTTGTAAAGCCCTAAAAAGCAATCTATAGGTCTAAGGATGGAACCCCCATTCGATACTTTGTCTTGTATACCTGCTTTAAACTTTTTGTGTGTAAGTACTTTGCATGTATACTCTCAGAGACCGTCTCTGTTTCCCGGCTGACTTTATCAACAAATTAATGTTTCATATTCAAATTAGCAAAGTCCTCCAAGCTGTAACGCCGGAATACCTGGTATGCACGGCAAGCCTGGGTCTCCTGGGGTTCCAGGTCGTGACGGCCGCGATGGACGCGACGGAGCCAAAGGGGATCGGGGAAGCCCAGGAAGAACTGGACGCCATGGACCTTCAGGTTCTAAAGGTGCTAAAGGAGAACCTGGAATCCAGGGTCCTACCGGCCAAAAGGGGCAGCGTGGAGAAGGTGAGATAAATGGGGTAATTGGCATGCCTTTTAAAAACTGGAAAGAATGTGCCTGGAACAACTTGTATGACCGCAAGGACCAAGGGCTTATAAAGGTAAAAAACAGTAGAAACCAGACTAGTTTTAAAAGAAACTTAAGTTTCTTATTAATTCATTCGTGCCGCATCATTTGGCACTAGTAATGATAAATATCTGAGAAGAGGCAAATTACATCAGCATAGACTTACTATCTACTTTCAACCATTCTTCATCTATTTTGACAAATCAATCTCTTCAATTTCATTTTCTTACCTACAGGAATGCATATTCACCAAGAATTTTTCTGACACCGCCCTGCATGTCTACTGGACTGGAGTACTTAGAGTAGCTCAGTGTAGCAACTGTTGCAAACGCTGGTATTTCACTTTCAATGGTGCTGAATGTTCGGGTCCCCTGCCAATTGACGGTGTCGTTTACCTGGGTGGGGCAGCTCAGAATCCTCACCGTGTCCGCCATATCGAGGGGCACTGTAACAACATCCATAAAGGGAAGCTTCGCGTGGGATTCTGGGTTGGCAATTGTCGCAGTTTAGGAAACGCTGACGCTAACACGGGTTGGAATTCAGTGTCCCGGATCTTTGTTGAGGAGGTTCCTGCGCCTCAGCCCTAAGGTGGACAAGTCTGAACTTAACCCAGTGTAAACACGAAGAATCGAAAATCACGGATATTCTTACTAGTTATTTAGGTGTATTCAGCGGCAGGAATCGATCATGTATTGAATGGCTTCCGATAACGAGGAGATATAATTGTGTCTAAGTCTGTTTTGCAATTTTAGCACGTCTGAGATCAATAAATAACACATTACAAAACCCAAAAATATTTGAATCATCGTTGCATTCTTTTGGAGAGGTGTGTGATATTTTCTCTTATTTTGCAGCAATAAAAACCAACTTAAGGGCCTCTATTTTACAGGTACTCTGTGTTGATGACAATAATGTGACTGCCTCCCAATTTCCCGAGGCTCCTCCTCCAGCTTTCCTCACGATGATTTTTTTACTGCTGAGACTGCCTATCGGTCGGTTTGAGACTTTGAATTCCCCACTGAAATGTTTTATTTTTCCACTGATCATTCAATCGTAAATATTCCATGGGCTTGGTCAGGATGCACATATTAATATGAAGTTGCATTTACTTTTAACCCCGAGGCATAGAATCTTTATGGCAGACAATGGATCAAAAGAAATCACCAAGGCTTGAAGGTTTCGTTCTATAAGTTCCTATAGTAAAAATATGCCGACTATATTTTTCTCCCTGAATAATTGTCACAGATATCGGCTCCAAAACACTTGAACAGGTGTTAACATTAAAACAAGCATCGCTTAATTAAAACACCGAAAAAGCGACAAAGCTTCATTTAGAAGGATAGATGTGGATAAGGAACCATTGACAAATGTCAGCATGTTAAGTATGACTTGTACATTTCTTAAAATTAGCTATACAGGAACTTTTCAAGTTTGAGATTATTTTGCCTGAATTTATTGTATACCTCCTTGAACCTTGGGGGCCTTCTTGTTTCAGAGTTTTCTGCCTGGTCTTTGTCATCTTTGGAAAAACGTTTTTTTAAAAAAAATACTTGGACTGATAAAATGTAGTTGAATTGGACACAAATGTCGCAAGGAATGTAGTTAATGTGTGTTTCACTAAACGAGCTTGTTCTGCAGAACTTTACCATACATTCTCGAGCATTAAAAGAGATAACATCCATAAGCTTAAGCCTCTGCGGAATATGATGAGGAAGGTTATTTTCCGTCCCGTTTAGTCATAAATTTAGCTTTAAATCATCTTAAAGCCTCAAATAATTTGCCTTAATTTCTGTTTCAATGCAATATGTACACCCCGTTCGATGTTCAGAAAATACGCGTCAGGGAGAAAGTACGAGTAATGAGAAAAATTTCCTCTCGAATTATATGTTTGACTTTCGAACAAGGGATATTTCATGCCACTTTTATATCAATTTGGTTTCTTGTCTTCGAAATAATCCAACGGCTTATCTGAGAATAAGGTGTGCACAAAAAACAAACAACCAACGAATAAATCTATGTCCTTTTAAGTACGTTGGTTAAAAATTCAGGGTTGGAATATTCAGGTTCCCATATTTGGCGCCTTCTGTTGTTCCTATACGGGTAAAATAATGTAGTAGTGAATAATGACGCCATCTAATTATGTTGACGCACTTTCAACCAGTTTAAAACATCTGTCCTTGCAACAGAAAGACCTTCCGGCCTACATTTATGTTGTTTATGAATTGGTAGTAACGGAGCGTTTGTAACGAGCCCATATTTGAACGAAAATTAAAGATCCACTCTGCAACGATTGTCAAATCAACTTCGCCTTCAGCGCCATCATATCTTTGCAGGACCAAGAATCTCATCTCAACTCGCACAATCTTGACTAAAAAAGCACCAGACAGAAAACACCAGGGCATTGTACCAAAATGAAAAAAGGCAAGGTGCGCGTGGGTTTCTGGGTAGGAAATTGTCGTGGATACCGCATAACCGCAATGCCGATGCCTACACAGGATATATTTCATTGTCCCGGATCTCAGCGGAAGTACCCAAACCTCAGTCTTAAATCTGAAAAGGGAAACTCCATCCTACCTAAAAGTCTCATAAGGACTATGATTTCCTTAATCATATTATTAGATTATGAACGGTTGCTCTTATTTCTGGATTTTGATTATGATGATTTTTTATGAGCTTGGGTGTGTAATAAAAAGAAGAGAGACTGACCAAATCTGTTTTTGTTTATATTCTCTTGTTTTGGCTTAATGACTGAAACTCTGTGGGATGATCTATTTTCAAAATGAAAAACAAAAAAATGTCAGGAAGACTAAATCAGTAAAACGATTGGGAAAACTAGGAGTAAAAAAACCACTAAGAGTTAAAATTCCAAAGGTAAATTAATTACCTGACGAGGAAATTCCGTGTTAAAGTGCTCGTGAAAACCGATATCGCACCCGTTGCTTCGCATGGCTTTATAACGTTACAGAGCCCGGGAAAATATGTTGTCTCGCTTGAATAAAAACCTAAAATTAATCTACAACGCACAGGGTCTAATTTCTGCATGGGACACTGCATAGATGATGTTCGGAGTACCTAAATGGAAGGAGTAAGTCCAAAATATATAGGAAAAGAAAAAATTATCATGGTGTTAACTTTGCTCGCCAATATTTTAGATACATCAAAAGAATATTGGAAGATGTGCCTAGTGACTAAGAAAATCTTATGATTATGATAGCCGAAGAGGCATGCAACTGACCTCTTAGATTAAAATACTCTAACTCGGCAGACTCTTTTTGATGTGTGAGAAAAAGGTAAATTCTTAAAATGCAGAAAAACGAACTTTACAAAATTAACCAATAAATATAATGACGAGACAAAAAAGCTTACCAAATGCTGAAGGAAATTCAGAAAATGCGAAACACTCGTGCGGAATGGAAAAAAACACTCGTGCAGAACCGAAAAAGAAAAAATTAAAACAATTCTAGGGCGTGAAACATGAAATATATAGGGCTGCGTAGATCACATAATGCACGAAAATTAATAGTGCATAAATGAATGAGTAAAAACAACGGAAAGACTACGCGTGTAAGAACCTAATGATTTAAGAACCTCTTGGCAGAAATTTATCATTTTAATACCCCCTAAATTATGATAACCACTTTAACTAAGGAGTTTGACAATTAAGTTGATTGCAAATACTTACTGTTTATTACAGGAAAAAACTGTCATTCTGTCATTAACTTCTCAGCCAGATCTGGTCTGTCTGGTAATAATTCAGGCAGCTCGGTTTTGCAGTGTTTTTTTTTTTTTACGGTTTTGCTGTGTCCACAACTCTTAATCACAAGTGTGCCTTGTAGGCGAACAGTAATCAAAGTAAGCTTGAATTGATTTATAAATCTGAATGAGAGAATCATTAGAAAGTAATTATTCACGGATTTGTCTTATAAAAAGAGCCCCGGCTAACTTTACCTGATTTCCATCTCGATGGGTAACACGGGTGCACGGCCAAACATCACCTCGAACGATGTGAATTTGGTGGAGTCATTCTTACTTGTTCGATAGGCGAACAGAATGAACTTGTTAAAGGGTCCAAATCTGCGGAGGGGGGTAAAACTCAGCTAGCGGATATGGACCCCGGGGGTCCAAATCCGCTAGGACAATGGGATGATAACACCCTCATTCTGCGCATGCGTAAGGATGTATCCTATTATAAAATTGCGTTTTCTAACTTTGTCAGCTGGTCGAAAATCTGAAAGTAGATGGAAAACTTTCCATGCGTTTTCAAAGCAAAAACGCCGTTTCAGGCATCTCCTATACACGCAGTTCGAACAGGGATTAAATCGAAAAAAGCACCCTATCAAATAATGAAAACGATAATTTTTGTCAGAAGGTCTACGTTATAAATCTGTAAACATAACTAATACTTCTGTAAATTGTACACATACACGCACACAAAACATTTTTGCACCAGTAATTAGACATTTATTAAAATTTCTAGCAGAATGTACAAGTCTTACAAAAAAATAATTCATAAAAATAATTTAATATTTTACAAGACTAAGATTGTTTATAATACATTGTCATAATGTAGCAATAAATACAGTATTATAAATGCTACCTCTAGCTACCTTCATAAACATCATAAACTGATGATAAGACAATCAAACCCTTTATTTGTGCTCAGAGATTGGTAATGAAAGCTAACCTACATTTTGATACTTTCTTAACCAACATACATATTTTTTAGTTGTTTTAGAAACGTAAAATATCCATAAAAGCATTTAATTACAGCTTGCAATTTACAGTAAACGATTGATATACCATTCTAAGATAAAAACAAAACCATTAGATATTCATTCTCCATTATAACAACAGTTGAAAACTTTACAACTGACCTTACAACGAGTGTTTTCCCAACCACCACCCACAAAATATTTTTCCACATGTCACTTGTGTGTTCAAATGACACATTTCTTCAACAACAAAAACAAAAAAAATGGTAGGCATTACCAAAATTTCTAAAGTGTATTAGCACACTTTTCTTTTTTCAAGCATTATTGAGCCATGTACACAAATCCTCCATCTTACACAATAATCTACTTACACAAAGAAAATACAAGATGTCCCTATTTTTCTTTTTTTGGAACCAACCTAACATTATATTATTATTAATGCAATGTATATCACAATATAAATCTCTTTTTGAAAGACCTTCACCATCACAATCTGATCAGTTATTAACTGCTAGGGGAATAAAAATTACAATTCTTGCCAAGTAGAGAAAATCCACTCTGCTTTGAACAATCAAGACCTGCTTGATGGCCTATTTTATAGCTGAAAGGCTTCATTTGGTGTATTTCCCAGATTTGTTTCATTCTGATTGACAGCTGTCTGTTAAGATTCCCTCGAGCAAGAAGATGGTAGGTAATGGAGGACTGATGTGCTGTAATTAGAGTCTGACAAGAGGACATCAACAACTTGTTTCCAGTGATCAAAGCTGATACAGGAACTCTAAAAGGGAAATAATTCTGTGTTTAGTAAGGCATCCACCCAGTAAATGCTAACACAGACTTCCAAAAACAGTAGAAGATTTCTCCTTTCTTAACATAGAATTTTAGGTTAACACTTCTGGAAATATTGAAAGGAGCTTCCTCTATACTTCACAACTAAAGTCACAGGCAGAACTTAAGAGCACATTAACATTGAATTTCTGTGTAAATACTTCACTATAATGCCCAATCCAATTAGATTGATCATGTCACATGATATCACCTGAATACAACAAATGATAATAACAAAGTAAATATAGACTGAGGCAAAAATCTCACCTGTTCAAGAGCTGAACAATCCTTTCCTCTTTTCAAGTAGTGAGTCTTCCAGAATTCCAAAAGGAGTCTGCAGAGATCAAGACAAAAAACATTACCCTCTAGCTCCTTTTCGTGCTATTCTCCTTTAAAGCTTCTGTTCAGTAACAAAATAGTTCTCAAAGAAGTTTTTCCACTTGCCATTAAAACCACTTTTCTCCGCATTTCAACAGTAAAATTATCTTTGAAAAACAAATTTACTCTTTTAAGCAATAAGCAATCTTTTCATTCAAATACTCAGCTAGACAACAAACCATGTGTGCCTCCTTCTTAAGCTGCTTTACAACAAACGGCCATTGATTTCTACAGTGAACAAAATAAAACTAACCTTAAGTTTGTCAGAATAAATCCAGGGTTCTTCTGAATGTTCTCTTCTCTAACAAAGGCCTGCAAGAAAAGGCAACACTTAAGTTTTTTTACAAAACAAATTGACAAGAAAGAGAAAAAATTCTTTTAATGAAAAGAAATGTCAAGCCTGCTTGAGGGGCTAAATGATCATAGCAACATAATGAATGTGATGGCCAACTAAAGGAGCTCTTAATTGTTAAATTAACTCTCCTTATCATAGAAAATGTACAGAAAACAGTATGGAGAATATCTACACTGATGTAGGGTGTAAAAGGGTTGCAAAAGGTTTTTTTTCCAATATATAAACCAGACAAAAGTATCAATCATCCAACAGAAAATTTTAACAACTAACTTACCATTAGATAAGCTGGAAGTTTTCCATGTCTGTGTGCAAACATCAAGAAAACAAGGGTCGTATTAAGGCAGCTGACATTTTCCTGAGTCAAAAGATAAACACATGTTGATTTACAAGTCTGTTACCATGCAATGACACCCTATCAATACTTGATGGTGTATCAGTTCTAAGAACAGCAAAGCTTCACAGACCAAAAATGATCTAGGTAAGGTTGAAATATAAAAGCCATTTATTCTTTGTCAAAATTTTATTGTATACATTTTGTTGCCACATAAATCTACCAATCTAGAGTCACGAAACTGTCTCAAGAAATGTTATTGGTGAAAAACAGCAAAAATTAATATCACTTGAACTGATCCAAAAAAGCTTACTTGTGTCAGTGTTCCAACAGTAATGGAGTTGATGAGCTTGTAGAGAAGGAAGATCATCTGCTCCCAGTTGCTAATAAGTGAACCAAGCTTAAATGCTCCAGCTGAAAAATCTTTTGTACAGAGAGAAATACGTCATTAGACCTTAGAACATGAGGCACTAACAATTCAGTGATTAATATTTCTTGTGAGAAATCAGTGACAATGCAGGGTATAAAAAATGCTGAGCTTTACCTGCAAAAGGACTTGACAGAAAGTGTTCTTGTGACAGGACCAAACAACGAATCAACATGTTGGAATCCACAACATTTGATGTCAAGATGCCAACAAACTTCTCAAACTACAAATCAAAACATTAAAATTAATGATGGACTAAAAACTATAAAATAAAAAAGACACATTTGTAAAGAATTTATATAACTTTTTATAATGAAAAACCCAGCTTACACACCAAAATAGTACATTTATAAAGAGGATATTGTTTCATTTTTCAAATTTAACCGCAGGTTTACTCACCTGTTTTGTGCTGATAGCCTGATCAAATCTTATGAAGGCAAATTGATTGAACTTCATTAACTCCCCCAGGAGATCAAAGCTACTTTGAAGAATCTCTTTTGGTTTCAGTTCCTCACTTGTGATGTGGTCAACAAGGTGCTGAAAAGAGGACATTAGATTAACTTCTTAAATCACTTCTAAAAGTAGGACTTACAGTTTGAAAAAAATTTTAAAAAATTTCCCTTCATTACAATTTTAATCATAATTCTCCTAAATCACCTTCCACTGGCTCTTAAGTAAATGAGAATAATCCGGAAAAAAAAACTCACCTCAAGAAGACCTCTCTTGATGAGAAACAGCTGATCGCCAACTGATGCTCTGCCACGGAGAAATCCCTCAATTGCTCTGGACAGCCAAAATCTGAGGGAAATTTGAAATAGAAGTTAGTTGGACTCTATAGGCATTTTGACTTCGCTTGCTTAAAGGCAGTGTTAACCTGAACAGGAAAATAATCAGTAGATAGAGCAGGAAAGATGGTGAATTCTATTGGGCAATGAAGAACCAAACCACAGACCTAAAACTTTTGCTAACATCACCCTTTAATCAGTAGCCACATTCTCCATTCCAATTTCCAGCTTTCTGTTAATTTCTGGAAGTTTCTAGAAATTTCTAGAATATGACAGTTTTATTCCAGAATCCTATTCTAGCTTTTTTCTAGAAAGTATTTTTCCAGATTTTTCAAGTTTTAAGTTCTTTCAAAAGCTGGAAATAGCTGGAATTTAATGCACGTATTAGCTGCTGCCAGAAATTGACAGCTTTTTCCAGTCTGCATTTCTTGCAGAAAACTGGAATAAGCTGGAAGTAGTTAACAACTAATTTACATAATAGCAAACCTGAGAGAAATTTTCAGCTTGGTCAGTTTCATTTTATTTCAAAATCTTGAAATAGAATAGGAAAAGAAGTACTTCACCTTATAGCTTGATAGACTAAAAAGTAGTAACATNGTAGCGTCATTGTTAATTACAGTTTATATTGCTCTTTTAGGAGGCACTGGTCAAGTTAATAGAAGATACTACTGATGCTAAGTCAGCTGTGGAGGCACTAGCAAGGCAGCTTTACTCAAGTGAGGAACTGCAGAATTCGTCAGTCACTGGTTTTCAGTGCAACAAAGATTACACAGCAAGGCCAGGCCTGAGTCCATCAAGGCGGAGCATTTTAGAAAGTGAGTTAATTTTTAAAGATGTATTTCTTTAATTATCTCTATACCCCTATATGTGCAAATTGTCCTAAATACAGAACAGATCTCCTGGTCTATCAAGCATTTGGTCTCCCTGATAAAAGCAGCATCTTTTGCTGGCAATTGGCTTATAGTTGACCCAACATCTTCGCAAAATTCAAAACATTTTAAACTGCTTAGGTAGAATATGTGGTTTTGTGTCACAGGTCTTGGCTGCATTTCCTTGACTTTTGTTAACAAATAAAAGCAATAGACATAAACAGAAACTGAAAGAAAAGTTCTCATTGCTATGGCCATATGTTGTCAAAATGCTGCAAATACATATTGTCGTACTACATACTGTCCAATGGTCAACATTTCCCACTACAATTACATTTGCACTTCAAGTAACATAGGCAAACGAGCTTACATGTTTGTGTTTACAGCCTTTTTGTTACTCAATTAAAGATTCATTTGGGAGGGTGCAATTAATAGATTGTGCCATCTGTTGCATGGAATGGAGTGCAACATTGTACAAAGAGAGCAATTGCAGACTCCCACATGAATCACCAGATAATCTGAATTGGGTGGCAAAAAGGATGCACACATGTAAGCGGACTGCATCTATTTACTGGTTTAAATTCTGCTATTAAAATTCAGTAATTAACATGTGATCAAAAATAAAGATCTTTCAGCAAGTCAGAGTTCCTGTTTATAATTTGTGTTTTGCACTATGCAGTTTCAAATGTAAGATGCTTTTTACTTAAACTGCTTTCATTTGCTTTTTCCTTTTTACAGGTATTGTGTTAAGGAAAGGATTTCCTGCAGTTACAAGGTCATCTGTGAGAAAGGACCTTGGCCTGGTCCTCAAGAAGGCCAGGGAAAATAAAGAAAACAAGGCCAAATGTAGAGGACAAGAACAGAGAAAGCTATGAGGAAGATTTTATTGTCCCTGTTTTTTTTTTTATCAAAAAAGACAAGATTTTTTTTAATTCTTCAGTTTCAGTCCAGGATAGTCATAGAGACAAAGAAAAGATTTTTCTATGTAACATATATTTTGGATAATTTGTTTTTCCTGTTAAGAATTTCAAACATTTGTTCAAGTTATTGCTGGCAAAAACGTGATTCTTTTTTCTGTTGGGCATGTGAATGCTACCAATAAAAAACCTGTTGAGATTTACTGGCTTAGCCTTGTTGTATACATCTAATAAATTTTTTGAAATGGTTGAATGCCAAGTAAAAATTATTAACAGTCATTAGAGTGAACCATCATGAAGTAAACACCTGAAAAAGCTGGAATAAATGCTGAAAAAATCTTGAAAATCTGGAATATGCTAGAAAAAGCTGGAAATTGATACATTATTTAATCACTGCTTCCTTTATGGAGTATGCAAGAATTTCCTAGAAAATTCTAGAAATCTACATTTTGTAATAAGCTGGAAAAAACTGGAAAAAAAGCTGATTTTATCCTAGTAAAGTGATTTCTGGAATAAGCTGGCAAATTCTGGCTGACTCTACCCTAATTAGCATGTTTCCTTAACATTCTAGAATGTTCTAGAATTTTCCAGAAAAGAAAACTGGTAAATTCTAGAAATTTCCAGAAATATTTTCTGTCATATTTCTAGAAAATTTCTAGAAATAACCAGAATATTCCAGTCTTATTTTGCAAGGGTAATGTTCTCTATATATTTCATATGGTGCTGACAAGGAGAATTTGTTGAACAATCAACAACTTCTCTAGTTGGTCATCATTTTCTTTATTCTTGTAACCTTACTAGGTAATTCAAGGGTGACTTTGTAGGGAGAAATTAGAAACAAATCACTCTTAGGGATCAAGGGGTAACTTACCTAAGTGGAGCAGTAGGAGGACATCTGATCAGTGTTTCTAGAATTTTTGAAAGAAGTCCTTTTTCTCCAGTACAACACAATTTCCTGTAAGATTACAAATAATAACAATAGTTAACAGCTGATGACTAAAGAGAAAGAAATTATTGTACAATCGATAAGCTTCTTCTTCAAAAAGAGTACCAAAGAATGCACACAATGCACAAATCAAAATATCTCTACATGTTTGACAGAAATTGTCTATCCCTAAAGCAAAAAATTAAAAAATCACAAACCTGTTGGTGTTTGTCAAACTCTCAGGTAGTTCCAGGTCATTTTGAACTGGAGAAAGGAGACAGAAAGGAGAAACCATCTAAGACTGTCACACTTCATATCTTTACGGTTAAATTTCTCCAAGAACTTTTTAAAAAATCTATTCATTCTAACAGATGACCAGTAGTTTCTTTCTCTTTACGCTGTCAATAAACTGTTGTGTAGAAGAGTATCAAATGGGAGTAATTGGTTTGACCTTACAAGAAATAATTCTTATAGCTAAAATTGGAAGAAATAGATGGCAGAACTGAAGTAGGGAGAATTCATACTACCATCTGAGAAGCCCCACTTACCATATAACTCTTGAAGTTCATCCACCTCTCTGGGTGTTAAAAGAAGATGCTTATTCCTACAAACAGAGTACAAAGGTTAATTGTAGATAATAGATAAACATATCAATTACTCACAGAAAATAGTAATTTAAAGGGGAAAAAAATTAACTTACTCGTGCCTGTCACAGAAACTGTGAACTAGTCGCAGGAACTGGATCTTCAACGCAGTTTGCTGAAATATAATGAACCATTGGCGAGGTTAGACTCATGGAGAGAAGAGATCAGTCAAAATATTTTTTTTTTAGCACTTACATCTCTCTGTAATAACATTAAATAATTAATCTTACCGGTGTACACTCATGATCTGCAATCTCTAAGTCCATCAAATCTTGATTCCTATTAGGAGAAAAACATTGAATTTTTCAAAGTTGCCTTAATTGACATCTTATAATGGTAACAGTCTAAATCTTCAAAACAATATAAAAAATTATAGACCAAGGCAATCACCAACTGATATAGGGTAAGTATAACAAACAACATTTGAGGTATGATGACCTTGTTTGCACAATGCCAACCATGTCTACAAGAACATCCAAGAAAAAAAGCATGACAGAATAATACATGCACATAGGCTTACATTCTTTCTGTTTCATTGAGCCATGACATTTTGTCAAACAACTGGCTCATTCCAGGAATCAGTCTCATTTCTGACAGCTTCTTCTGAACCTGCAGGCAAGGTTGGAAATAAAAAAATCATTAATAAAACATAGAATGAAGAATTTAAAATAAATTCCCTCACCAAACCGGCAAATATGTTCCTTAGGTCTGCAGCATATCTGTGGAATATCTGCGTGACCTATCTGTAACATATAGGAATTTGACCCCAAATTTCTAACTGTGACAGATATGTGACAGCTATGAAAAACCAACAGTACATACATATTTGTGGAAATATCTGCTACTACAAATATGTTAACTATCTGTGGATCCCTATGGAGGCAATAGGGGAGGCTATCAAGGGGGGCATGGGATGTAGTTCATTAACTAAGAGCAAGTGAATAAGACACTGCAATGTTATCTATTTGACATAGTTTATTGACATAAATTAATTATGTATGCAATTTTCATTTCTCTTCTAATCAACAAGAACATATAAAACTTAAAAAATCATTAAAAAATACAGGAATAATCATAAAATTGTGATAAAGTTCTAGCTGTTTTTTTTTTTTTTTATATACTCCTCTACAAGTTCAACAGCATTTATCTTGCAGGGTTTTATTTACACTGTGACAGCCTGCATTCTATAATTTTTCTCATCCAGAACAAACCTGGGAAGCAATTAAAAGACAAGTATTCATTAGTCAGTTCTCAAATGATTGAAATTGTGGATTACCAACAAACAGCCCTATACAGTTGAGTTGATTATGTTGGTAACATGGAGTTTCATAATCTAAATACTGAAAAAATTTCAACCAACAAGGAGAGTACAGTAGTTTGTTTGACCATGCACACTGTAACTAGACTGCCAGAGATTGAGAATGACCAACGTTGAGGAGCTGAAGTGGAACAACAACAATGAAAGTGAAGCTGAAACTAATCGGATATATGCACAACGGGTGCAGTCACAGGTCCCTTAGAGCTGTCCTTCTAAATGTAATGAGTAAAATAAAATTACTACAATGAGGGGAAAGGATGCAGATCAGTGTAAGAAGGAAGAACGAAAAAGTTAAGAAGACTACTTTAAATCTCAATTCTGATTTTGCCAAAATGGGGCACTATGTTGGCGGCAAGACCTCCTGTGAGGAACGACAGCAGCAGACTCAGGAGGAGTGTCTGAAGGAGTTGAGCTGTCTGGAGAGGGGGCTGGAGAGCAGGTTGACGGAACAATGGCTGTAGGTACTGGAGGAAGCTCCTGAGCAGGGACAGTGACCTGAACAGCGACAATGTCATGCACAGGCTGCAGAACTGTACATTGTTCACAGGCCCTCCCTCAGGAGACAAGTTGAGGAGCTCTAGACCGAGTGACTCAATGGCACATTCTGTGACAGGATTCTTACTGGGATTCTTGACCCTACCAATCTCCAAGGTAATTCCGTGGGAAAGGAGAATTGGGTCGGTGGTAAGTGCACAAAAACCAGGAGCAGGATCGATGTGGATTGTTGCACCGCCATTCTGCAAGGAACGCAGCTGGGAACATAAGATCATGAGGGCGTTGCGGAGATCCTAATGTTTCTCACTCTTGAAAAGGGTGGTTAAAGTGTAGGAGGAGACAGTCTTACTTAGTACGAGGATTAATTGTTGGTGGCATCGGGCAACATCAGCAGCGAATGAAACACCAATGGTCTAAGGGGGTTCCTTATGTGACTGGGGCTGGAAGTGTTTAGGGATGGATTTCACAATTCACAGTTGTGGCAAGAGGACGATACAAGGTCAATGGCTTTGTCAACATCTAAAGCGAAGAGGTATCAGGTGAAGAGATGCTTTATTTGGTACTTTGATGGGTGACTAAACCTGATGTGGAGAGCTGTTAATAGGCTGTCTAAGACGGAGCGAGGTACAACTAGGCGCTCACGTGAGGGTTGGAAGGGTCGATGATCACGCACAACAAGAAGGCCATCAGCGGCAATCACAACATCTTTGAGGTAGCGTTTCCCATCAATAACCTTGGTGGCTTTCTTAGAGGGTTGGGTACCTTGGCTAAGGTGAGAGTGTGTTCTCCGGAGGTGAGGACACTTCAGCTGGGTAGCCTGCCAGGCAGCACGGCTAGTGAAGGGCATCTTGACAGAGCCTCAAAGGACATCACTAACAGAAAGGCGGCAAACAACAGAGTCTTTGAATTCGATGATGAATTTGCAAATCTGGCAGCTAGAGTCCAAACATTCCTTTAGGTTTCGGCTTGCATAGTTGAAGGGTAGATTCTCAACTCCGGCGATATGATGGATGTGGACAGAATAGCGGCTGACTGTGGACAGAATAGCGGCTGACTGTGGACAGGAAGGTGGTGACCCTTGAGCTGGCTGAGAATCCTCCTCTCTTGAGCTTTTTATAAGCTTGAACACAGGGTCTACTGTCAGTGAGTACCTTGGTGGTGTGCGGAGATTGAATGATATAGGGGGCAAAATGTCTAATTGCCACACCAACTGCCAGGGCTTCAATCTCACAAGGCAACCAAGTCACTTGTTGCTTACGAAGCTTGACACTGAAGAATCCTGCTAAGAGCAGTGACCTAGGCATGGCAGCCTGCTAAGAGTGGGCTGCCATACCTCTATTCTTGAGGGAGCCGTCGGTCACTATCCATAAGGCATCTTGAGGCTGGGGAATTGTGATGATCTGGCTGTCAGCCAATGTACGTGAGTGGTTTTGAAGGCCAGTATCAATTCATCGCACCACACAATTTTTTTCTCTGGATCCTTACCCTGCAGTGGATTGGTCAAGGGGATGAAGCAGCTCCACAAATCTTGGGAGCACACGACTTAGAACTTTGTAAGCTCCATCAAAGGATCAGAGGCCTTGTACTGTTGAGGGAGGCTTGAGTACTGAGGATAGTGCAGCCAATTTGTGGGGGCTAGCACCCAACCCAGTATGATGGCCTTTCTTAGGCAGATGATAGTTTTGTTCTGCAGATAAGCGAAGATTGTTCTTTTGGGGTAGGGCAAGAACTCTTCTCCAATTGTCGAGGACCTCAATGGGGCTATTTCCCCCAACGTACCGGTTGTCGACGATTTTTGGGAACACAGCCCTCTTGAATGAGGTCTCCCAGAACTCGGGACATCAGCTCCTCAAGGCAAGTTTTGGACCCAGGCAAGCCCATGGCAGAACGAGTGTAAACATGGATGCTTTTAAATGGGGTAGCAACGCCACAGTTAGATGAATTGGCCAGGGGAATCTGATAGAAAGACTTCAGCAAATCGGTGATAACAATGTACTTCCACTTCCCTATTTCACGCTGTACGCCATCAACTTTAGGCAACAAGGAGGGTTGAGGCTTGCTGTACTGGGCAACTTCTCCAAAGGATGTCACAAGTCTGCTACTGCCATTGGGTATCTTCACAAGAAATGAGGTGTCCAGGTACTCCACATGGACATTGACTTTCTTTGATCTTATTGAACTTGTTTCGTAATTCTTCAAGGGCGTTCCTATTGTACTGTGGGAGCCTGCATTTGTGCTGGGGAGGAAGGGTGCGGTTAATGTTGACAACAGCTTCAATTTTGCCACTTGCACCATTGTATTTAGAGATGGAGGGGTTGAACACATCATCAAACTCCAGGTTGAGAGCTATGAATTTGTCATGAGTGTCCTGATCTAGGCACCCACGAGGATCAAGGATCACACAGGGTGAAAAGGGCTTGCAGGTGGCCGGTGAAGGAGAGACAGCACTACATGTGGGGGTAGGTGAAGTGGAAGATTCAACGGGTAGAATTTGCTGAAGCTAGCAAAGCTGCTCACCACTCTTCAGCAGAATGGGGGAGCCGGTCGTGTTGGAGATGCCTACCGCATGATCCACAGATTGAATTTGCTGGGGCGGAGGCCATGCCTCTTCTGGTTTGCGTGGCATGTTAGAAGGACAGTGTGGTTTGGGTTGCGCAGTAGGAAGGATTGTGTACGGCGTATGTTGAGTTGACGTGTATGCCTGGAAGGTGAGCTGTAACTGATAATCTCAGTGCCACCTATCTTAATCTGACATTTGGTGGAGGAGGCGCTGATCGTGTTGGAGGTTGCACCGGTGTCCAGGGTCAGCTGCACTGGGTGTTTGTGATAGAAGGTGTGAAGTAAAGGGGACTGGACTATGCTGACACAGATGGCTGTTGGTTCTTCACCCTGGACTGGTGGGACTACAAGGTCACTGCTCTCATCCAAGGGCTCGCAGATCTCAGCATCAAGGTCGTCGGGGTCATCTGTCACCATGCGTAACTGGGCCCATGGTCGACAGTCCCAGTCTGGTAGATAACGGCAATCCATCAGGTTGTGGGTTTTATGTGGGTGACCGGCAGTTTTGCAGAGTATGCAGGACAAGAAGGGACGTCGATGAGGGTGGCTTAGATCACTATTAGAGTGGCGCCTTGGTGTGGTACTGCCGATATGCATAGCTTTGGTATCGTTGATGCTACGTAACTCATCAAGGAGAGATCCAAGAGCTAGAGAGATTTCAGGTTTTAGTGAAGCCAGGGTCTTATGGCGTAACTCAGAGCCATTTTTTTGTTTCACAAGAAGAGGTAAGTCTGGGTGTATCAATTGGAGCCAGAGGATGACAACAGTGTTCTCTAATGTGGGGGAGAGGTCTTCATCAGCAGCAACCTGATCTCCATGGTGTGTTAAGCCACCGTGGACAGAAAGGAGATTGTCTTCAAAGAAAGCCATGAGGCGCTGAAACAGGTCCTCGGGTCTCTCATCTGGCTGGAGGTGTATGCTAGCCAAGTCAAGGAAGTGTGCTCCAGTGGACTGGAAACCATAATGTTGACGGATTTTCTGCCATATGTCAGTCAGGGAAGTTGAGTGTTTAACAATAGAATTCCTAGAGATCACAGGACAGAAGTTGGCTATTTGGCTGAGTAGTAAGTCCAGATGGGCGTTCTTTTGGGCAGCAGTGAGTCGCTGAGCCTTGGGAACTGCAGAGCCATTGGTTGTAAGGCTCCTAAGTGGATTGGTGGCGGTTTGTTTCTGCCAAGTTGCATCAAGGAAGGGAACAGAGTTCTTGTTGAGTGAAAGGACATTGATCAAGTTCTGCTGCCAACTTTCGAAGGAAGTAATCGTCTCGATTTTCGTTAATTGCCACTGTTTGGGTGCTTAAGGTGAGGCGGCCATTGTGAAAAGTTCACAAGTTGCTTACCTGAAATGACGGCTTTGTCACCTTGCTAAGGAGTGAATGTCGCAGGATCCAAATTAGTCTACACTTGTGTTAGGGAAGTCGAGGCATGAGTTAAACACTGCCACCACACCAATAAAGAAGGAATCACTGCGTAAACTCAATGGTTTAATTACAACAACTTGAATCGGTTGGGAGCACTAATAACTGCAGGCTACAATATAAATAACGTAATGGCATTGAAACATGAAAGAGGCAAAGCACCATTTAAGGAATTGAAATTAGTGAGATAAAAAAGAGAGAATGAGAGGTTATTCAGTTTACCTACAACCAAAAGCAAGAATTATCACTGGGTACCTGCCCTTTGCAGAATGTGTCACACAAGGAGCCTGCCTCAACATCGTCACGGGTAAATTATTTCAACTTTACCTCTACCGAACAGGCACTTAATTCCATCCTCAGTAAATTTCACAAGGTGAAAGTCATAAGGAAAAAAGGTATCAGCAACTAAGATTATCTGTTTGAAGTAAGTCTTGCTACAAACAATTTTTTCGTAGCTAGTTTCGATAAAGTCATTCACAACTATGAACGAAATAAAAAAAGTTTTAAGTTTCACCACTAAAAAAAATGGGTGTCACTCACCATTATCCTCTTGAAAACGTGTTGATGCTTTGGTAATTCGTCGATTCCTTTTCGACATTTTTCAGAGCTGATCTTTATCTGTAAGCTGAACTAGAAGTCTCCAGCATGCTAAAACAATGCCAAATGCAAGCATTTGAATAACTGAAATATATCACACCACAAAAAGAAAAGTGCCACCATTGTCCATCTACAGTGTAAAGCAAGATGGCGGACAAATGGATTGATTCAAGGAAACGCAAGGGTTTCAACACCTTTTCGTTGCGTT